GGTTGGGTTGGGTTGGTCGGTTTGGAGTTCACTTTTTGTTCATGATCCACAGTGAAGACGTATTGTATTAACTAGGGTAGCATCATTGATAAATATAAACAATTAAAGCTTGAGTCCCAAAAATTGAACAGAATAATAACCAACACCAAGCATTAAATGGAGGATGATAAGCTGTTGGAACAATAGTTGATGTATATCAATAAGCTACTGGCAAAAACAAAAGTGGAGGAAGATAAGCTGCTGGTAGAAATGAAATTGGGGAGGGTAGCACTTGCAATGTGAATCATTAAAGGAGTGTCAAATGAGCAAAATTGAAGCATCAAAGAAGCTTTGAAAGTGGAAACTAATAAAAAAAAATACCAGGAAACTTGCAAAACAAACTAATCATTTATAGTTAGGCACTTGATCATCTTCAGTCGTTGTGCACATTTCACACCTGCATTAGTACAACCACAAAAAAGATTAATAAAATTATAGAAATGGGATAGAAACCAGCAGCTTAATAAATTGTGTAAAGCTCCTCTCAAACTCTTGCACACACAAACCTAGACTCAAATGGACATGTAGAAACAAACTAGATGCCAGTTTACAATTTGACTTATCACACTCAATAATCTGATATTGTTCAATGCTTCCAATTTTAGTAGTTTCTCTTTGTTCTGTTTTCTTGACTGGTATTTTTTTGTTTCTAATTTCTAAGTCTTAGAACTATATCATCCACTGGCTTTGAGGTTTTTCCTAATGGGGACTCATTATCATTCCCCAATCAGCGTTCTAGTAATGTCATGTTAAACGAAAACACTAGATGAGTCGTTGCACATATATTTTGTCTGCCACAAAGAAGATGAAAATGAATTAAAGTTACCTTCCAGTACCAGGCAAAAGAAGATTTGCTTCCTTGTTACCAATTGAGAATGCTTTCAAAGTGTTTCCTCGAATATGTGTCCAGGTAGAGTGCTGACCTATCTAGGTTCATGGGTTACTAAAACCAAACCCCTCGGAGGAATCAAGAGCTCCCCTGAAGAGACCACAACTTGACGAAGCAAAAATTGTGTCAAACAAAGGACACTTCCATGTTAAAAAAAAAAAGACAATTGAAGTAATCGCTAAAGAAGTAGAGCAGATATATCAACTAAAACACACCATGTCTAGGGAAGCATTACCTCGCACTCGTAGTCTCAAATATATCCTCCTCAAATAAACCACACGTTTGTCCCAAAGAAATCTAAATCAGGTCACCAGGACCAGAAACTCCGCAACCGGCGTGTGATGGTGGTGAAAAAATAAGAGCGGTGAAGGCGACGGCGACGGCGAGTGGAGTGGATCTGGGACTGTGGTTGTGAGAGAGAGAGGGAAGATTGAGGTTAGGGTTTGTGTCGTGAGTCTTATGAGAAAAGTTGTGCCTTTATTAAATTGTAATTGTTTTTTTTCTTAACTAAGCCTCGGGTTGGGTTGGGCGGGTTAACTCGGTTTTTAGTGGATCAACCCGTGACCCGACCCAACCCGACCCGCCTCCTTCACCTACAACCCGAACCCAACTAAAAATTAAAAAAAACCGACCCAAACCGTTCGGTTTGGGTCGGGTCGGGCGGGTTGGACGGGTTGGATTGGATTTTGCCCACCCCTAATTAGTATAATGTCATTTTGTGCATATGTTAGTTCATATTTATGAAGGTGCATTCTATGTAAATTCTTTGTTTTGTGTGATTGTTTCAAAATTTATCGATCAATGTCATGGTTGAATTGTTAGCTATACATTGTGATATAATGGTTTGTTGTTTTTTCAATTCGTATTACAAATTGTGCAATATTAATAAGCAAGGAATTGAACACGAATAATGTTATTTAGCACTGGACTATGTGGCAACAATTGATAGATTCAATTAAATAAAATATGTAAGATTGCATTTATGTGAATATATCATTAATGTCATGATCTGTCACCTAAATTAGTCTTTAACACTAGTGATGCTGAATAATATTACTCGTTGAACATTGATGGATAAATAAACTATATCTTAAAAGAGCAAATAGAACTCTTGACGAAGACATTGGCAAGTGACACTTTGGGAAAGTTGTGAACCTAGCACTTTTCGCGCAAAGTCAAAAACTCAAATTGTTAATTTGTACATTTTTATTTATTTTCTTAGTTAACTTTAGTTTTAGTAAACCATTGCCATTACACTTTAGAATGAAGCTATATGTATAGATTTTTTTGGCATAATTTTTATAGATTTACGCTTGTCAAGATTCCATTTGCAGTTGAAAAACAAAAAAGAATATTGTCAATCAGGTGTTGCATTCTGTAAAAAAATGTCTGCATACTTGGTTTTATCCTATACTTTATTTTCTTCAAATAGGAGTTGTTACTCATATAAATAATTGCTCCCTACGTGGCGGATCTGAGGGCCCTACCTTACGTGGCAGCATAGACCACCCTGTTAGAGGCAAGGAGGTAGCCTCTCATATGGACCAAAACTTGGTCGACCCCATTTGAACAGACCCCCGTGTAAGAGCCAAATCGGGCGAAGCGACGAAGAGATCCCTAACCTATCTCGTGGTAAAGTGATTGACAAGACAACTCACTGCCAACATCGCCTCTATACACCTACATGGTCAAATCCCAATCGCACAAGCTAGGGTTTGTAGATGTACAAGAAGTCTTAGCATTTAATACCTTGATTGATTGATCGATTGGTACGTACAACAAGAAAGGCTAGTCAATCTGATGAAACCACTTGCCTTACCAGCCAACGAACCTTGTTCTTCCTGCTCAAGTATAAAAACCCACACTTAGTGCCATGTGGGGTTAAAGCAAGTTTAAACTCTCAATCTAAGATTCTTGTTGCAAGAATTCCTGTTATTTTATCCAAAATCGACCCCCACTTTTTCTTTATCGGATCCGGCCTACGTGGACGCAAGAAGCTTTGGATATCTGTTGGCCACATCTTTTATACAATTTTTGAGGTCAACAGATTGGCATCGTCTGCGGAAGAATTGAGGCAAACACTTCTAAGTTCATATGGAAAAACATCATATGCAGGTTCGAAATCCCCCACTCAATCGTTACAGACAACGGGTGATAGTTCAGCAACAAGAGGCTCGGAGACCTATGCGATGAACTAGGGATCAAGAAACATTTCTCCTCCCCTCACCACCCCCAAGCAAATGGCCAAGTCGAGACAGTCAACAAGACTATAAAACATCTCTTGAAGAAGAAGCTTGATGCATCAAAGGGCGCATGGGTAGACGAGCTCCCTCATGTGCTATGGGCTATCCGTACAACCAGTCGAACGGAAACAAGAAAAACCCCATTTTCCATGGCGTATGGAGCTGAAGCCATGAGTCCAGTTGAAGTGGGTCTTCATTCACCTCGCCGCCTGCAATTCAACAAGATATCTAATGATGAGATAAGAAGGTGCAAGCTCGACTTCCTTGAAGAAATGAGGGACAACTCCCAAACAAAACCGACCTCCTATCAAAGGAAAATGGTAAGGTACTACAATGCAAGGATAAAGAAGAAATCTTCCAGAAGAGGCGACCAGTACTCTGGAGAGTTTTCTTGTCATCTAAGGAACCTGGCATTGGTACATTAGGTCCGAACTGGGAGGACCCTTACCGCATATCATGCAACATTAGACCAGGGACCTTCTTAATTGAGAATTTGGATGGACAAATGCAGCCCCACCCCTAGAATGTGGAACACCTAAGAATGTATTATCAAAAAAGGTCTTGATCATTGCTCATGTACCCCTTAGAACTAAGGCATACGCCTTTTATTTCAAATTGTGGCAAGCCCATAAGTTAAGTGTGACAAGCTTATACACTCCTTCAACGATTAAAATATGGCGGACCCATATCTCCATCGACTTATTAACTATGACAGACTAATAGGTTAAAAATGACAAGCTCATCGGTTATGGCGAGCCCATTAATTGTTAACTTACAGGTTAAAAATGACAAGCTCATCGGTTATGGCGAGCTCATTAATTGTTAACTTACTGGTTAAAAATGCCAAACTCATA